AGTTTTGGCGAGACATATTGCTAAAAGTTTAGGAAAAATGTTGAAATTAAATGGCGCCAAGGAGTTCCATAAGAAAGTAATATTATTTTCAACATTTTTCCTAAACTTTTAGCAATATGTCTCGTCAAAACTAGAAGATCTTCTGCATTATCGAGTGTGCTGAAGACGAAAAAGCACTTTTCCGCGACTCTAGATGAATTTTTGTTTTCCTTCACGTTGATATGAACGTCGACGAAAATAAATCTAGTCAGTACTTTTGGTGACGCGCAGTTATTTGTAGGATTTACGCACTCAAAAAGTAGAAATCACAAACGCGCGCATTTTTTACTGTTGTCGTCCAACGACTTTGATTTATACAACGAGAAAGTGGGGTATTCAATTTCTTGTTCAACTGTGTGTTTTCTAGGTGTATTTACAAACGCTCCATCTATTCATTATACGTCACCTTCACACGATGAAGATACACATTCTCGTTCCAATGTAATAATTAGAAAACGTCATCGTTTGGGTGGTAGTCACGAGAAAATGTTTACAGCTGAAACAGCCTGTTCCTCGTCATATCCTCAAAAACAGCTGTCAAGTATAGACGGGCATCAAACAGCAAGTCAATTGGATTCAACAAGTTATGACAGTGATTTAGACAAGTCAACAGAAGATTTAGATTTTGATGGTGAATATGACGAAGAACAATTACTACAAGAAGAAAATGAACAACAAAAACTAATTATTGTAAGTCGAGATTTCTATATTTTACTTTTAGTTAAAGTTTCATTCAGTCTTGTATAAAAATAATAAGAAAATTACTTATTATTAAACCGCATTTTGAGGCAAAAATCTTCTCAAGCGAAAAATGATAACTATTTGTTTTGTTTAGTCTCGTCAACAAAATGTATTATGGTGCATTGTTCGAGAATGGCTAAGAAAAGAAGAGATTTATATTAAACAACTGGATGATTTACTAATGCAGGTAATGAAATCAAGAAAAAAAACATTTTATTCATCTGTCTTTGTATAATTTTTCTTGTTTTAGTTGAATTGTGTCTCCTGTGAGACTTGTATAACGATAATTGAAAAATTACTTAAACTACATAAAAATGTTTATCTTGAAATCAACTTATTAGGAGAAAAACGAGCACAAAATGAACATCCATCGAATATTACAAAACAACTAACACATGCCATTAGCGAACTTGTATGTAGAATAAGACATCATGAAGTATAACATTTCTATTTTGATTGTTTTATGAGGAAATCACTTCGGATTATCTACACAATTAACATTTAACTCTTATTATCATACGATTTTCATATTTTTCTAGATGCTCACATTAAAAATATACAATGACTATTTACGAGTGAATTTAGCACCAGTGAGAAAAATATTAGAGAAGAAAAATACTCTTACTGGTGGTTATACAGCTGAAGGTATAGTAAATTGATTTATTCTCTCTAAGGTACCTTTCTCTCTTTTCTTTTTGAGCTTTCTGTCAAAATACTGTCAAATTAAAACTAAAAATGACTAAGACTTTATCGTTTTAGAGTTGTTTGAAAACTGAACGGAATATTTTGCTATTTGAAATCTCTTACTGAAGTTTCTAGAACACTCTCTTTTTCATTCTGTCACATTACATCACTACTTACATGTTATCCGACAGAAGTAAGAGTTTACTTCTAGTGTTAAATATTGAATGAAGAATACTGAAATCTTTCCAAAACCACGTTTTTCGTTTTCTGAAGCTGTATAATTCAGAAGGAAAGGTGTAAAAATTAATCTCAGAAAATATCTCTGCAACAGAATCTTGATTACCTTAACTCAATAGAAGAATATTTAACTAGTGTTGTAACGTGATATAATGAAAAAGAGAGTGTTCTAGAAAATCCAGTAAAAGACTTAAATAGCAAAATATTCCGTTCAGTTTTTAAACAACTCCAAAGCGATAAAGTCTTACTCATTTTTAGTTTTAATTTGACAGTATTTTGACAGAACGCTCAAAAAGAGAGAAGAGGTATCCTTAATATATCGGATATTATACCCTATTGATCAAAATCAAGTCAAAAAGATCGTCTTTTCACACGCGCGAGATGATGAGTGTATTAACGGAAAGATTTTGAAACATGGAATTTGAATGATCAAAGTTCGATAGATTTAATTTTATAGAAAATATCTAATACAAATTTCTGTCTCATTTAGACATTTTATCTGTTCCACCCAAACAATTTCTTCAAATTTTATCGCAAGTTCAAGTAAGTAAGATATTTTCTTAAGTCTAATACATGGTCTTAGCATTGTCTATTATTCTTAGGATTTATATCATACAGCTCAAACTTTTGATTGTGATTCAGATAATATTCGAAAATTATACGAATTTGCTGAACACACTAAAACATATACTGTAAGTTGTTCACTTATATCTCGTTAAAAAGATTATTAATTCTAGTCGTCTCTTTTAGAATGTAACAGATGAAAATTTTAATAAGATCATTTTGAAAAGTGAAGATGTCGTCATATTAGTTGATCGGGGTGGTCGATTAAGATGTCGATTGTTTCTCTATCCAGATTCCATCGTTTGTTGTACAGTCAAACAGAAATTATTAGTCATGTATGCTTTAGTTAACTAATTTAACTGTTATATATGATACTAATGGAATCCTCGTCTTTAACTCTTTGTTTTTTTTAGTAGCCCAAAATATCAAGTATCTTGGTTTATTTCAATGAATGATCTACATTGGTCTATTCCCGTGTCAGATGATGATTTACAAACCGGTGGTGAGTATAAGAAAAAAGAAAGTTATTATTTGATACTCTACGTTTAATTGCTACAAAGAATTGATTTTAGCCGAAGTTTTTCTGTAGCACTTACTTATACTTTAATTCATTACTGAACGTTGTCTAGCGTATTTCTGTATCTTCAGTAAAGTTAAAATGATAAAATTGTAATAACTTCGTTCTTTGTGGTAAGCTGTGAAATAGCATGTTATTTTCTTTTGTGTATTTTAGACGATTCAGTCAGATCAAAACTAAAATCATCGTATCGAGAATTAGAAAAAATGAATCCAGAAGCTAACGTATGTACATACTAGTGTTGTGAAATAATCGCTCAGTAGTCGTACTAATTTTTTTCGAAAAATGAACTTTTCTCACTGTAGACTCGAACTGTTTAGATATATCTTAAAACAGACAACAAATTTTGAAAATCGTATTTGAGGACTTTAATTCATATTGTTAATTAGATTGGTTATAGTCTAAGTACTTTTCAATTCAGGAAAATGGTATCGAGTCGATTACAAAATATCTCTTAGAGTTGTCAAATGTCTCGTTTTGTAGAGAAACATTTACTCTACAAAACTGAAACTTTAGAAATGTTTTAATATGATTTGTAACCGCAATATAGGCATTTAAAAATGTTCAAAATCGCGAAAAAATAATTCTCCATTATATATTCCAAAGCTCCAAGAGAAATTTTATAATCAATTCGAAACGATTTTTCTTAATGCCCTAACATCGATTATTAATCGATGCATATCTATAGAGGAAAGATCACTTTAACAAAAAGAATACCATTTTCGAAAATTCGATTTTTCTGCTTAATAGGATACACTGACTCTGTGATCTACGATAACTTTTTCTTATGAAGACAGTGAAGAAATAAACACTATGCTTCAACTTCGTATTCTATTTCAGAATAATTTGACATCGCGTTTGACAAAGAGCACTCGTAAACTCGAAAATGAGTATAATTTATCACAATCAAAATTAAAATTATTGTTGAGTAGTCATCCACCTCAGGCACAATCATTGCTAACATCTCGTACAACCAACAAACATACAGATACTCAATATTCATCGAATCAAACATCGGCCAATGATAAATATATTCTATTTTCATCCGCTTATCAACGTCAGGAATGGATCGATACGATTGATAAAGCGAAAAATGAATTACTGCAACGTTCACCGCGTCAGTTAACATTGTCAAAATATCCTTTATCAGAATCCATCATACAGAAAAGAGTTGATGTTATTAAACCACATTTACAGGTAGGACTTTTTACTAACGAAAATATCAAAACATTTTATGATTCTCTTTCTTTTCAAAGGATGGTGAAGGAAAACAAACACTTCAATCGAATCATCCTCAAACAGCCAAAACATATAGTGGAACATTAAATATAACAATTCAGAGTGCACAAGGACAAGCATTGACTAGACAAACTCAAAGCTTGGATGCTCGATCTCAACGCCAAATAATATCATCATCGAAACAAGATCATCAACAGAAACATTATCAACTCTATGTAGCACTTGAAATTGATTCTTACAACACATTCTATCCATATGCACAAACAAAACCAAAACAAATCACATATTCAAATAAACATGGAGATTATGTTGAATTTAAAGGAGAAGTAAGTTGAGAGTTCCTGCTGGAAGTTGTTTCATCGATATTTCAGCCATCAACTATTAAATCGAAGGCAACTTGAGTACGAGCATTTTGATAAATGTCAACGAAAAACTGGTTTCAATTGAATTTTCGCTAACATATTCAAAGTTTGTAAAAAGTCTTAAAAATCAAAAATTTTGCAGAGAGCAAGAGTATATGATAGTGTAAATACGGAAAAGGATATGAAGACGTGTTTTTAAAAATCTTTTTATGGTGGCATCTACTGTGTAAGAGCAGAAGAATCTCGAGACATCACTGAACTATAGTTGAACTCGAGACATCACTAACGCAGTGAACTATAGCTAATCGACCATGCTGATCCCGAATATTAACATGAGAGGGGCTTATACACCTTCCAAGGGTCGGTTTTCTGGAAAACCAGTTTTTCAGAAACTCTAAAAAATAACCAAAACCTTTCTTAATTAGGCATGATTGTAGCCTACAAATTTCTGATTACAATGAGACATCTCCACATGATCTTTCTTTGCAAAGTTATACAATTTACAAGAAAAGCCCTATATATTCATTGTCAGCACAAAGCTACAGAAATAAGAAGAAATGAATTTAGGACTTTTCTCGTAAATTCTATAACTTTACAAAGAAAGGTCGTGTAGAGCTGGAAGATGTTCCATTTTAATCAGAAATTTGCGGGCTACAATCAAGTCTAATTAAGAAAGGTTTTAGATACGTTTTAGAGTTTCTGAAAAACTGGTTTTCCAGAAAAACGACTCTTGGAAGGTTTATATACCTGTCTCACGTTGATATTCGGAATCAGCATGGTCGATTGGCTATAGCCCACTAGGTCTCATTAAAAAAAAGATCGGACAGTTGCATATGTTCCTGAGTAAGAGCAGTTTTCTCGTTAATATTCATTCGTACTTTACTTGCCTCCGATCTAAATTATCGATAAAACAACTTCTTAATTGTGCATATGTCTTGTGTTGCTGATTCATTACGTCGAGATACTGTTAGATTAGCATCACATGATGCTTTTTTTAATGTATTTTTATCAATTTTATTGTGTAGACATTTGGCGTTGAATTAGAATATTCACTGGCATTTCGTTTACTTGTTTATCGCATTGATTTACCTACAACGCCCAATAATGGAAGTTTACCACGATCACAATGTATTGGGAAATTTCATAGAAATGTACGTATATCAAAAATCCACTATTATAATTAGATAACTATCCATGTCTACGTCTAATTTAGATTGAAACAGCTTTACATGAGAGTGACCGAAATGGTGGTGATAGCCAGTTGTCGATGGAATCATCGAATGGAGATTTAAAATTAAAAATTCAACTCAGATATTACAAACGAGAAGGAACGTTTAAACGACGAAAATCGAAAAGAAGTTTAGCCGTATTTGGAAAATCGATCGATAAACTTTTGAATACACAGGATGGAAGGTTAGTGAAACTGTCTAACTCATTCATTATCATCATTTAAAACTTTTCTACCATACTTATCACAGAAAATCTTGAATCAAAAGTTCTTTTTTTATTCTAGCGTTGAGTATATTCCTCGTATTGTTGCAAAATGTATTGAAATCGTTGAACGTGATGGTCTTAAAGAAACTGGTATTTATCGTGTATGTTGTGTCGCATCGGAACTACATAAGTTACGTCGACACTTCGATCAATCTTATTCGACAGCCGAATCTATATTAGAACAGAAAAATGTTCATGTAGCAGCGAATCTATTAAAATTATTTTTTCGTGAGCTTCCCGAACCTCTATTTACTACACAACTTTATTCTTTATTCTTACGTGCAATACAAATGAACGATCCGGATAATCAACGTTTATCATTATTAGAAAATGTATCAAATTTAACACACACAAATCGACAAATATTATATTATCTTTTAGATCATTTAATTCGTATTAGTCAGCATTCACAACAGAACATGATGCATTTAGAAAATTTAGCCGTTGTATTTGGTCCAACACTGATGAGACCATCAAAATTAGTTGATTTAGGTAGTAGAAATTATGTACGTAGTGGATCAAGTCACCATTTGAATAAACTTATACCCAATGGCAAACAAGAAACAGATTTAGATCAAATGACAAATGAACTTCAAGGAAGTATGCTACAATGTCAAGTCGTTTTGCAATGTTTGAAATTAAGAAGAGATCATCAACTTATTTGAATTTATTTGTTCCTTGTGATCATTGAAAATGGTAATTTGAAAAAGGATCGTGTAATTTTTTCATCTTCTCCATTGAAGTGTGATTTGTGTAGTGCATGTAGTTTTTCTTTGTTCTTGCATACACCGGTCGTTTGTTTTTTTCTGCATTCCATTTTCGATTTCAACTACAATTTCACAATTACCATTTTTCTTTTTATTCCTCAATTAGTACAGTGATGATTCTTTTTACGATTGCATGTCTAAATTGATAAGATACAACATTGGTTTAGTCAAGAGTGTTGTATCATTTCATGTGATTTTTCATCATAAAGTCGGCTTTTCTGAGGCTATTTTACGACTCATCTAAACTCTTTTTTCATTCGATGTAATTTGTAACTTTGAAATTTTATTTTAGATGACGTTTTCTTTTTCTTTTGTTGATTTCACTGGTCGATGATCAGCTTGGTCTGAGAAGCTGAATCAACCATGCAGTTTTATCAGGGCTGAATCAAACTTCATTAAAATGTATCTTCTGATTTAGAGATGAACATTCTGAGCAGTTTATTCAGCTCTGAATCTGATGGCGGGAAAACAGGACTGAATTTTTTGAAAAAAATAATTTCGAAAATTTCAACGCTGATTCCGGTCAAATTTTTCTTTTTTTTTCCTTTAAGATTCCTTCTCAACTCTCAGAAAAAACTAGATAAATTTGACTGTTACAAATAGTCGACAACAGTCTTACTATGAGTAGGAAGAGAGTACTGTTATTTACCCATATCCTCGATTTTTTATAGATTACGGCGTAGTAGACTCATTACGTGTCGTGATAAGGTGGTAATTTCGCTAGAAATGATGCTCCTAGATACGATCGTCATTACGCCGTAATTTTATCACAACTTAAGATGTAATTGTGTAAAATGTAAGGGTATCATAGGACTCCCTAAGTCCCCAGCATTATATGGTGAATTTAGTCAGTCCTGGAAGCACTGATGAGGATATTATTCAGTTCTGAATTAGTAAGAAGCCAAAAAGAAGAAAGAACCTTTTTGTGGAAAGTAATTTTCAGTTTTTTCTGAGATATTTTCTACTCTGATTCAGGCCTGATAAAACTGCATAGCTGATTCAACTTTTCAGACCGAGTTAATCGTCGACTAGTGTTCTCTATCTTTCTCGAGCTATGTTTGCTTCTTTTTTTAAAAAATTTTTCATCAGTGGCAAACTGATTTCTTCATTATAATTTTAATTGCCTCTCTCGGTTTTTAAAACTAAATGTGTTATTAGTTTTTTACTGTATTTAAAATGTGTGTTTGACTCGGTTTTGTTTTGTTTTCGTTGCATCTATACCCAAAAAATTTTGAAACAAATTATGTTCAATTGCATTGATAAAAAGTTTCACGGAGATACTAATTCGAATAAGAAATGAACGTATTAATATAGCATACTTTATGCTTTCTAATTAATTTGAAAAATTAATTATGATATCTCTGATTCATGTATGGTTTTGTTTGAAGAACATGTGTCATATCAATGGAAGTGAAACACAAAAAAAGTGGAACATAATGAAGTTATCGAACACGAGAATTCTGATGAATGACGTATTTTTTTCGTGATCCAACCCATTATCAGAACTCAATGAGAAATTGAACTCTCAGTTTCTTGCACGATTTTATCTGATGGGGTCGTGCCGTTAAAATGTATCGCGATTATGATACTATCCATTCACTAGGGTATACCGTTGTTTGCGCAAGTTTTAACAGACACTGGTTGTGGTCAGAATGATAGAATGCAATGTTAGCAGAAACTATCCATAAATTCTGTAATTCTGAGCAGACCCAGTGTCCGCTAAAACTTGAGCGAACAACGGTATACCCTAGTGAATGTACTGAATTCAAGGTACTTGAATAATGGATAAGTCTGTGCAGGTATCCGTTTAGGGTACTGCTCAACAATCTTCACTCTCTTGACATACACAAGATTAATTATCTGCTCAAAAGTATCATAGTGGCCACTGATAGATGGCCTGTTCAGTTACTGGGAATATCTCAGGAGAGTAGTCATCAGGTACCTAAAAGTATCTAAAACTTACTGTTGACAGGGTCCTTTTTCGGGTACTTGGCGCTCAGTGGTTCCGCTGGGGTGGTAGCGATACATTACAAAGGCAGAACTCAATCAGGTATAATCGTGCAATAAACTAACAGTTCATAAAATAGATGCTTAGTTGTTTATATTGTTAATATAAGGCAAAGGACGGGAAACGATAAGAGCCAAAATCGGCCCACGCTCACATCAGTCTTGGGTTAACTCATCTGATGCAGTTTTGATCCTCGATTAACGCTAACATATTTTTAGACATTAAAAATTCTGTTCAGCGCTTCTGGAAACATTTTAGCAAAAAAAACTCTTCTCGCGTTAAATGACCTTTACTCAAAATATTTTCATTATTCTACCTCTTTACCTAAAGCAAATATCAAGTATTACACAACGTTCGATAGAAACTTTCACGGGCTGCAAAATGATACATAAGACAGTCTTAAGAAAATGCAATTGGGTAGTCTAAGATACGAAATACTCGGCAGCACCTCAGAAAACCAGTAGGTCAACCTCATTGATGTTTGTACCATCCATTTAATTTGTCCTTAACTACTCTACTTTATATGTCATTCGGTAGAGAATTCTACGCGCTACAAAATCGTAATTCATCTTTGATGTTTGACACAGTAAGTCTAACAGAAAAAGCTTCAAACTTTTTAAGTGCATCTTCAAGAAATTCATTTTTTACGCAAAACCTCGCTAAAAATCACTTATTCAACAAAACAAGGTATACCGAAAAATTCACAAAGAAATTTTCTACAATATGATGTTCTTTATTGAAAGTTGTCATATCTCAACAAGATATTATTCTCATAGTTAATTACATAAAACAAGTCATCATGAAAGCGAAAAATCTATATATCGATTAATGTATGCAATACAAATCTTTCCAATAAAATAGAAATTCTTTATACAGCAACCCACAATCGGTATTTACTATCAAATTTCAGTTTAATCACTTTTTAATTTTATTATTAAACTCTAACGGCAAAAAATAGATTTAATTTTTTGGATAGAATTTCATCGTCGATCTTTGCTTAAACAGTTTCTCACCGAATCAATCAAGAATATATAAAATGGGTTTATAAGTTGACTGTTGTACGTCATGGTGATGATTATCTGTTGTAATTGTTTGTTTTTGAACGTATAGTGTGCAGAACAGGTACACGTATTTGTGAGTACTGGATGTTGTGGAAGAAACAGCGTTCTAATTTGTTGAGCAAAATATGCGTTCATAAGCCGCATTCGACGCAGGTTTTGATGCTCTATAAAGTGACCCACCGTACTTGGGGCCAAGTACTTGGATCAAGTGCTTCGTCTGCGTAAAGAAACCGGTACTTGCCTTTTTTCCAGAAGTAAATTTACTTTGTAAGTACTTGTGCTTACTTGCCAAGTACTTTCAGAAAGTACTTCTTAGCAATAAGGCAAGTATTTCGATCACTGACAATTATCTAGCAAGTAATTAAGTACTTGCATCAAGTACATTCTCTAGGGTATACAGTAGCTTGTACTTAACGCTTTAATTTGCATATAAAGTCAAAATAATCGCAAAAGTACTTGTACTTGCCAAGTACAAGTACTTTTCAAGATATTTTAAAGTTTTTTGAGAATTATGAGATTGCATTAGACCTCAATTCGCTTCGCTTTATAGAGCATCAAAACCTACTGTTGAATGAGCTCTGTGAATGCATATTTTACTCAACAATTTACAACGCTGTTGCTTTCACAACATCAAGTACTCACAAATACTCGTACCCGCTCTGATAGTGTGACTCTCTTGAAAAATATTCAAGATGGAAAAATATTTCTACATTTTATTGTACAGAGAGAATACTACATATATTTCAAGTTAAAATAATTGATTTTTTTTTGTAAGTTTTAAACATATTAAAATTGATATTAAATAAAATCTATGTTAAATTTATTCCGCTACAAACATTCTTTTATATGATTTAGTAGATTACAATATCATCTTTAAAAATTTTAAAATTTTTTTATTCTAATTCAACTGTCTCTATTAATAAGTTATGTTAAATCAATCAAACTACCTGTAGAATTTCTGTTTCTTTTTCTTTTTATCTTTTTTAATTTTTTTATAAACAGACATTTTCCTTGACTATGATAATGTTTCTATGAAAATAAAAATAACATGTCTGACCTTCTATTTTGTACATATAAATTATTATTATTGTATTATGATTCTATTGTCTTTCGCTTTGTCTAAGAATAAGTAACAAAGGAAATTATTTTCTAAACAAATTTAGGCCTTTGATATAAAAATAACAAAGAAGCCCTTCAATCTTTATGATTATTCTCTAATTGTTTTGACATAAAGGTATTTTTCTAACCGGAATGAGAGTTAAGTGATAATAATGTTGTGTCACACTTATATAAATACAAGGACATTCCAAAAAAGATAAATTTGATTAAGAAGTGTGAAAATATGAATAATATTATTATTTCTAAACTTAATGATCATAAATAGAATAAAAAGAATAAAAAGATAAACAATAGTTAATTTTGTTGGATTTAGAAATGAACAGAAAAAACAGACGAAAAAAAAAACAATGAAATATCGTTATGTTCATGATAAAGACAATGAAGTGTCAGAACAATGAGTATTATTATGATGATGTAGAAGAAGGAGAAGAAGAAGTGATGATTATATGAGACAAAAAAAACATAATTGCAATAATAAGAAAAAAAAATTATACATGACGTAAAGAGAAAAAAATGTTTATGACGTAACAGAGCATAAAGTGATCAATCTGATTTCATTTGTAGTTCTACTCTAATTTGGATATTTTAGTAAATAAACGTTAACTATTAAATATAACTTGTATTTTTAAAACTTGTATTTTTTTTTGAGCTCCATCTAGGGTCCTGTTATCATGACTTTCTCGTTACCGTTTACCATACGGTAATGGTGT